GTCGCTATGTTAAAGGAAAAACACCGATATGAACGAACCTTCGACTGGCGCATTAATTGAAGAAAATAACGCTAGATACACTATAGTAATACTAAACGAAAGAGAATCATAGACATTTCCTCCGCGTTGAAATAAAGAAACGGTGAAGAACGCCTGTTATCTCAAACTGTACAGACGTTGCTTCATGTTTGTATATTTGCATTGCTAAATCATCATTCTCGCCTCGCGATTCGTAATTTCGTCTTTATTTCACGGGCTCGCCAATTTTACATTCGATGCAAAATATTCTTCATGACACATATCAGCACTTTTTCCGCGAAACCTGTATGCACTTGTATAAACATTTAAATTAAACAAATTAAGCGTTGCTCCGTAATATTTACAGAATCCGCGTAAGCAACGAAAATTCCTTTTCCTTTTTTCCTCGCAAAATTTTTCGTTCTAAGTGCATACACAGGACCAATGTGAAATATTAAAACCACATATATTGGACGGATTCTGACTCTCACATTCTTTAACATTCCGTATACAACACAGTTTTCTATAAAACATCAGAAGCTTTTCTTTCTTGACGGAAGAACTGCTCGTGTCTCGCCCAGGCGTTTCCAGTTCCGAGCCGGCAAACATCATAAGAAGAAACCTGTCTACTGACATAATCTCCTCTTCGGGAAACAGCGCAGGTTACCTCGTACAAAGAGAAAGAAGAAACATCGCAGTATTCACGCGTTCTACAAGCATCGATCAGGTGTCGATCAGGATCGAAACTCGTGCGTGCTTTCTGTGAACTTGACGATTTCGAAATCGACCTTGAAACTGTCCATCCGTTCGAGACAGAGGCGATCGTTTGTTGGACACGAGTCGATTATATTCGCAGATCAATGATATCTAAATATAATACGATACCCGATCGTGTATATTAGAGAGGAGCAAACGACAGAGAAACGATTTTCAAAGGATCTCAAACAGAGATCTCTCCATGTTCAATCGGTGCATTCTGAAGCGAAACTCTCGAGATCTACGTAATGTCCGTTCATATTGTCCTCGAGTAACTGAGCCAGATCTCTCCTCAGAGTCTGGAACTCTGGCCTGCGGTCGGGATCGGCGTGCCAACATCGGGATATCACCCTGAACAGCTCGCTTCGGCAGTGCGAAGGCCTCTCCAGTCGGTAACCATTCTGCACGTTCCGCATCACTTCCCTTGCCGTCATATCCGGGTACGGTGTCGAACCTGCACCGAGAGAAATTTGTTCTTCCGTCAATGATAACGTTGAAGATTTGGTAGAAAGTAAAAAATTTTCATTGGGATTTTAATAAACGTTTCAAAAAAAGAAAGAAGGAAAAGAAATGTAATGAGAAGTATTTATACGTCGTATTCAAAAAGAATGCATAAGTTGTCAAAAATTATTCTAAAACGCAAATTATATACGTCATTTATAAAATATATAACAAGTCATTCTCACAATTGACGAAGGAATTCGTCACAATTAACTGATTAAAAGTGCAAATGAAGTAGATAAAATCAAGGTGCTGATATCAAAAGATATTTCGCGCAAACACAATTTTGACGACACTTCGAATTGTAAAATACCACAAATCACACGTACCTAGAGTGACGATCTCCCACATCAAGATGCCAAAGCTCCACACATCGGTCTTAGTAGTGAAGAGAGAGTAGATCAACGACTCGGGCGCCATCCACCTTATCGGCAACGCGTTCCTCCCGTGTCTCGTCTCGATCACTTCTCCGTCTTCGTTCGCGAATCTGGACATACCGAAGTCGGCGATCTTGCACAGCTTGTTATGGTCCACCAGCACGTTCCTCGCGGCGAGATCGCGATGGATGATCTGCAAAAATCGAATAAAAAGGAAGATCGTTCTTCCATGAGACACTGACCGCAGGTGGACGTACTGTTATGCAACCACGATAACCACATCACACAACGCATATCGATATCGAGTGACGGAATGAGCGAAATCGAATCTTCGATCTGGTCACATCTTTACGAAAAAAAAAAAAAAAAAGAAAAAACGTGGAAGCGTCTCCTGGGTACTCGAGGATATTCGTCGACGACTTCGACTTCAACGAATAGATTTTACAATACGCGGGTTCCGCGTTGTTCGGCTTCGTAATACGGCGGCACGGTGGACACGTTATTGCTTCTTATTTATTGCACGACTGATTTATCGCGTGTTTGTCGCACTGTTATTCGCCACGGAAGCCGGGCTTGATTTATTTTATGCTCGCTTGTGGTCGCCAGCCACCGTGGACCTCGCGAACTGTACGCTTCAATGGAAATATGCTTGCACATAAACCGATAAACACGGATAAAATTGTTGCTCGAGCCATCAACCGGAATCGGCGGTGATGTTTGACCACCGATGAAAGCTTCGATTAGCGAGTAAATGGTGTTGAACTCTGTTGCACAGCTCCGTCGTAAGTAACTTCGAATCTCCGGAAAAGTCTTTCAGAAAAGGACAAGGATTTCAGTAAAAAAAAAAAAAAAAAAAAATCGAAAGCGTAAAATTATTAAATTTCATTAGCTTTCAGAAGTGTATCTAAAAGTTGCTTTTAATCAATATAATCGTTGATATATTATCAATGCATTTGATCTTATGTTAGAAAACAAATGAGCCATCATCAACGTATCGTCAGATTAAATAAAATTAGAAACATAGAATAGAAATGTGTAATCCATCTTGTTATTAAGTCCAATCGTATGAAAAATTTCTCTATAAACAGATATAAATTATATCAAGAATAAAAGTGAATTATTGTCTGAGGAAAATTATGTGTCCAGTAAAAAGATCCACGAAGAAGATTTAACACAATTGGTTCTAATTTCTAAAGAAAGAAATTTTAGTAGAAATAAAAGTAAATTATTGTAGCTTTTAAAGAAAATTTTGCAAGAAGTTTCAAGCCAAAAATATGAAATACGAATTGTACTGCCGGAAAATTGGCTGAGCGGACTCTCGTCGCTCGACCATGCCCAATGCTAATGAACTTGCGCTGTTCAGTGTCAAGGCGAGCTAGATACATATACGTCTTCGCCGTTTCTTTAATGACTTCATCTTCTCGATTTATAACGCGACCGCGCGATCACCAGCGAAAAAACTCGAACGCTAGGTTCATTTGTCGTGTTGACGTGCTCGTGTTTTTGCTCGCTCCATGACGTTTCGTGCGGATGAAAAATGTATTTTAGCGACTATGTTCGCACAACGTAAGACGTCAAGGTATTTATGGTGTCTTGATGTTAGTGTATCAATAAGAAAGAAGAAACGAAATGTGAATAGAAGTTTGAAAGATTCTTCGTATTCTGTTCAAGTTTAAGTCATACTTTCGTGACAAATATTTTTAGCGACTATCGTATAATTGTTAAATAAGGTAAATTATTGCTTGCATGTTGTTATCATTACTGTGCCGTACAGAAGGAAGATCTCTCTTTTCCAAGTTTCCATTCTGAGAAACATATTTTCTTTGTTTGGGACCAACTGTGTTAATGTTTTCCTTTTTTTATCGGTGGAACATGTCGGAGACTTAAATAATGTCACGTCGAAGAAATTTCTTGAAACCACAATTTTGCAAAATACTTGCGATACTAGGATAGATACACAGTGAGTTAGAAACAATATTAGCGCACACTCTTATCTTTAATTGAAATGTTCAATCTTTATCAAGTTGTTCAACATTTCACTCTCGTAATATTTAATATTTCTATCTTATTAATTACCCTATTAATTATTCTACCGAGTAGTGTAAAATTTAATACACACCAAGGTTCAATATTTCGAAGCACATTGGAATTTCGAAAGAAATAATATCTTTAATTAAATAAACATTTTATTTGTAATACTATTTTTTTAGATGTACTCCAACTATAACTAATTATATTTTAAAATTAAACTTATAATTATAATATTCTCATTTCTCAGAAAGGCTCCGGTTTCGTTCAAAAAAAGACAAAGATTGTTTCAAAATTCTAAACGAAAATTGGCGCTTACTTCTAATTAATTAATATTGTGAATGTTGTAATAAATACAATGACGTGGAAATACTTTCTGTAGTACATGTATATTCGTATATTAAATTGCAATTTAAACTCCACGATTCACACGAAGCAAGCATACCGATCTCCGATCTTAAACAACCAATAAACGCCTCACTGTTTCGAAGGCTTTAAATCATTTCATCTCGTTCGTGCATCAGCGGTGGCTTCCATTTTCAATTAAGAATAACTATGCACGCTGGCCTTGAGAAGAATTTCTGCGAACTCGTGTATAATCTTTGATTGAAATCGGCATCCTGACTCGGTTGCTCTCAAGTCGTCCTTCCAATGATGAGCATACTGAGGATACTGACATACATGAGGATACTGATTCCAATCGAGACTTCGTTCCCGCTGTTTCGATGCCTCGAGCCTGCTCCCAATCGAATCATAACCGGTCATAACGAGCGATGATATTTAACTATTTACCATTTTTCACCTCGCTAATTTATTTCGTGTTTTTATTCGAATAAAAATCTCCGGCTAATAGGAAAGCTTCGTTAGTTCCGAACTTTTTTTTTTTGAAGGAAGGAAGGAAACTTTAATTGAAATCTCATCGTCATATTCTGGTAGTTTATTTATTCCATAGCTACGAAGATATTCCTGAAGTATGTCTCTCCAGCTTGATTGTCAGTATTCTGTTAAGTATCTTGTTGAATTATTTGATCGAAGACGATGTTGAACACTCGATTGTTTCAACAGATAACGAGAAACAAATTTTCGAGGGCAATTAATCTGCCCTACAAAGAGAAGAGATTTTCACTTCCGAGTACCATCTTTATTTAAAAAAATTCAGTTATTTAAGAACATAATGTTCGAACTAAAAGGAAGATAACTTTTTTAGACAAGTCAGAACGAATTACGAAAATAAAGCAGATACGTGGTTTCGAATGCATATTTAGAAAAGAATTAGATAAGCCAGTTCTTAGAGAATTTTTATACAACGCAACTTCGTCTTACGTCTTGAAATGAATTTTTTTCATGCTCGAGAAGAGACAACGAAAAGATTCGAGCTACACGTCTTAAACGACGTAGTAGCCAACAGCGATAGTTAACGATAGGCTCGAGGCACGTATATCTCACGGTTGCTGGGGCGAGAAAGAACCTTGATGTTCTCCGTGCCGGAATGCATACTACCGTTTTCCTTCCGATGAGTAATTATCGTCCACTACAACTTCGGAAAATTGGCTTTCAGCAGCAATTCTTCGAAGACGATTACACGTACGCCGTTCGATATTCGTGGAAAAATAATTACGAACGATTGTTTCGGCGGAAAACCACGCGGGACTCTTTCTAATCGAAGACTCGCTGATACTCCTCCGATAATGTTACTTCCACAGAGATAAATTTCGTTCTTACATCGTTTAAATCGACTGCAATCGTTAACGCTACAATAATAATACGTGTTAAAATATTCTACGTGTAAATCATTGCAACTGAAATGTAGAAGTGCTAAAAAATCTAGGGCAGGTCAAGTTAGTGACCACTTCGGAGTGGCACATGAAATTTGTAGAAATTTTGTAAATTGTAAAATAGCTTATGCGATATAAATGATAAAATAACATTAAAAGTGTGAGCGTGAGAAAGAAAGAGACAACGAGGGTATATACATGTTAAGAAGAAGTGTTAACAGATCTAATCGTTGAATGGAAAAAAAGCAGAGTAAACAGTGTGGAAAGAATTGAATAGACAGTATCTAATAAAATCAATCTAATTTGATTTAATTAAGTTCACCATCATTAAAATTAAATATCAAGATATTAAATACGTGTAATATCTTGACATTACACTCGGCTTTGATCGTTTAACCTTCAAATCCCACAACAATTCAAATAAATAGATTTATACAATTTGACATAATATAAAGAGAAATCAATATTAATTTTTACGGCCGACAAAAATGCCGGTATCTTTCAAGGAACTGTGAAAAAAGAAAATTTGAAATTCGTCGTATTGACGAGTTATATCTAAAACCTTTTTTTTTTGTGTTTATAAAAATATTTTTCACGAAGTTTCGTTAAGACGTATAATGTTAACTCGAAGTTCCATGAAAAGAGTCCATTAAATGTCGCTGCGTGCATAGAAATGTTCGTATTACGCTTCGGAACGAATTATATGCTATCAGCAGGAATCTTGAAAGTGTAATATTTAAACGCTTTCATACTGTGGCGTTATTGGCTACGGATCGTGCAGATCTTCGGCCTGGAATTTCCAAAATCGACGATAAAAAATGTGACAACTCCGACAACTTAGCTTAGCTTCGTTTACAGCATGATTCAATGTCTGTCCTACAGGTGCCTCTCCAGATTTTTTTAATTTGCATAAACGACTTGTAGCCACGAGGAGATATCTAAATTAAAATTTCAAAAAATTTAGATCTTCGGAGAATCCCAATTTTATTTAACAATATTTCATTTCATTTCGAAGATTTCTTCTGTCATCGAAAATACTTCAACGAGATAATCGATAGATCTTAACTATCCAATTCTGAAGTCATTTAAAAAAAAAAAAAAATTAATTATTAAAAATTGCAAATTTCCTTAAATTTATAATTCAATAATCGTATATTGAAAAATTTACTAGAAAGTAGTCCAACATCAAAAGAAATTTCATGAAGACAGCAGACAACAAAATATTTAACCTTATGCTAATTTTCTTGCTGGGGAAGAACTCGCTTTATAATTGATACAAACTTCTTCGCGTCTTCTTGCTAATGTAGGTTCATTACAAATGTCTCTAGGGTTACCAAGCCATGGACCTCATTTTTACCCATTGACACAGATTCACCTGACGAAATGATCTCTGGCCCTGTGCTCTTCACAACACTAATTGTAAGAAAATATTTGAGGTACAAATACCATTGACAAGCTGTTTGTCATACCATCGCTTTTACGATCTTCGCTTGTAATATATAGGCAACCTTGAAGGACAGGAGATCCGATTTTTAGTGCGGAGAACTCTTTTGGCACGTAGGTGCCATTTGTAAAAAGCATTGGAGACTACAAAGGCGAAGTTTTATCATTTCGTAACCTTCGACGTTCGATTTATGACAAGTTTACGTACCTTGCAGATTTGTGAGAAAAGAATTTTCGCGTGGAAAAAAAAAATTAAATAGGGATGTAAATTTAAGAAAAAAGAATTTTCGAACAGAGAGAAGTTTGAGAAAATATGAAAGAAGACAAGGCTGCAAAGGGGAAAAAATATAAAAATGTAACAAAGTGAAACAAAAGGAGCTGTAAATTTGGAAAGAAAGAAATTTTCGTATAAAATGATTTTCCTTTTCTGCTCGTCACGAACGAAAAATATTCCATTTCAAGGGGGGGAATTTTATCGCTGACATTTTAATGAAGAGAATTTGTCTCTGTGCGACATTTAAGAAATTGCTTTCAAATTACTTTCCTTTCCTTTTGCGAGATGAAATATGAAATCGATTACAAATTCGAAAAGAATTAAGAACAATATCGTCATGGCATGAAGTAACAACATCGGGGGCAATACTTTGATATAATGTTACGGTAAGTAGACGATCGCTGTATCGTTTTTGGTTTGCTTGCTAAGACTTCTCTCGATCACGCGAGCATATAAGGTCATAATAAATTTTCGGCCAACACCGTGAGGTAAGCGTAATGGAAGCACAAATAACAGGGCTGTAATAATTTAAACGCGGCCAAGAAAGGGTTCGTTTAATAATTCACAGATATATTAAAACCTCTACGCGATACTTCATTTACCATCCTTAAAACGTATAAAAGGATTTTAGTTTAAAAATACTTTAGACATCGTATTACACGACCAACAATATATAGAAAAATTATGATGGATCTTTTACATGATTTTTCTATTGTCAAAAGTTTTCGAAATGTTCTACGAAGAAAATATTGTGCAATACAATTCATTCACATTCTTATTAACTCGTTAAAGACCAAAATTGCACTAACGCAACATTTCTCAGTTAATTTATTTTTATCGACTTTGGTATATTAATATTGTGATTATAAAATCCTAAAGACCTGTTCCATATTTTTTCAGTGTCTATTTTCTCTTGCCTTTATCTTCTGCAATTTAATGAAGTTTAAAGAAATTGAAGTATCCCTAAGTATCTTCTAAATTATAAAATCTTTTTAAATTTTCGATTTTCTATAATAAACTTCTGCGTATTACCCATTGCTCCAATGCATATTTTATTCTGACTTTCTGAGAGAAAGTTACGTCTTCTAATGATGTTGCATCCTTGATGAGTTAAAAAAAAAAAAAAAAAAAAAAA